TAAACATCATAATTTTGATTTTGAATACATTGCTTCCGCTGCAGTTGGTTATGATGTTTGTAGATTGAGATAAATTTTGGTTTATTAATCCTCCTTGTATTATTAGCATAATGAATAAACTTGTATTCTGATATACTAATTGTGTTATTGAACAAAGATCATGTTATCTGCATATTGAGATTATATTATTATTTTGGTTCTTCATGTTGACGTTAACTCGTTTGTCATTCTATTGTTGCAATGGTACGAGGTCCATGGGAATTGGGAATGATGGCAATCCGTATGGATGGGTCTTGAGCATTGATGGATAATTTGTTTCGTTGATTTGGAGCCGAGGAATTGCAATCGGGTTGTCGAATACGAGTCCAATGATGCATTCAGGTAACTCAGTTCATTGTTTCATGCATAATTAATTGTTATCCTATATGCGTGATTATAGTGTGATGAGTTGGAGCATAATGAATTAGGGCTTTTGCTATTCCGAGTATGCTTGTTTATTTTGTGAAGGCACAATTAAACTTGAAATCCCTATAGATGCCAACTTATGATTTATGTGAGATGACTGGAATCATTCTTTCTGCATAAAGATTCATTACACTAATATTTGGTGTACACATTGCTCTTCTATTTTTGAGTTAGAGCCTGTGTAATTAAATTGGGTGGAAAATATTGTTTTGTTGCTATTTTGTAGTCTCAAGCAGATGTAAGATTTCTCATTAACTTGCTTGAAACTTGGAAGCTTGCATCATGATTTTCCATTATGAATTATGATAATAGAATTTGACTTATTGTTGCTACCAAATACCTGTGGCTTTTATGTGGGTCTGATTGGTTAATTATTCTAGAAAAGCAAAATCGGATTATACGAGTATCCATAATGACATTTTTAAAATTATGAGTGTAATTCATATCCCAATTTTGGTTAGACTATATATAATAGGTTTTGGGGGTGTTGCCATATATGTGAATGATGTAGTTCGGAATGTTTGGGTTCGTTAATGCCAATATGTGCACTGTATAACCAAAAACATGTGAAGGCTCTTGTGTTAGTACCTGTATGAAATGATATAAATTGTTTAGTGAAACCTTGTTGGCAAGAATGTATTCTGAAACTCATCTCACTTGATATATTGTAAGTGTAAGAGATTTGATATTATGTATTAAATCTATAAGTACACTAAATTTTATTGGATGTTCATCTTGATTATCTTGTTTTAATCAAGATGACTTGTGCCTTTATATCCAGACATTATCAAATTTTAGTTGATCTTGCTCGATGGGTATTGAACTAGTTAGGATCAAATTGAATGCAAGAATATTATGCTTGCTATTCTGATTTTGATTATTGATGAAACTGGTGATTTTGGGTCTATGTGAGATAAGTTTTTCCGAATGGATTGTGACTATCTTTTGATACATAGACTATTTGCATAATGGTTTAGGTGTATTTGACTAAACTGAGATTATGCAATTGGTAAGGAATCGGGAATCAATTGGTTCATATCTCCGGTTTCTTTATTGGCTGTGCAGTACATTCTGCTTATGCTTAAGTGGGAGAATCATATGTTCGAATGTAAGCATAAGGTTATTTAGGCCGGCCATTATAATTCTTATGGATGCTTGAAAACCAGATTATGGTTTTATTGAAGCAATTGGTAATTATTTATGTTACTTAATTTGTTTAAGTAATGAGAAGTTCAGTGTTATTTGCTGGAACTAAACTTAAACTTGATATAGTGGGGAGCAAATCAATTTATATGTGTTTGTTCTGGTCAAGTAAAATCACATTGTTGTAAATATAAATTGGATGAATGTGATCATGGAATTTGTTTGCATATTGGTTGCGGCAATTGATCACATTGATAAGACATTCAGTGTATTGCAATGACTGTTAGTTAATACAGTTGATATTAACTTATACTTAACTTGTTTGTGTTAAGTATAGCCTAGATAAGTGGGAGCAAATTGGTTTGGTTTTTGCTATATTGGTTCACATAATTACAAAGTGCAAATTAAGTATGTTGTGACTTTTGAGTTAATTCTGCGATGTAACAGAAAAAAATTCTTAAGTTCAATACTTTAAAATGCATGGGTAAGTTGTATGTGAGGTTAAGCTTTTGTTATCCAAAAGATTTGGTGGCTATATGAGTGGGAGTAGACGTCTTGGTTTACTTTTGAGCTTAGATACATTGATATGAACATGAACTGGACATTGTGATTTATAAGTTAAATCTGTATTTTGTGTTGCAGAGGCAATTATAAATTCATTGTTTTGGTTTATGTAAGCTGGTTGTATCTATGTACTAGTGTGTGATAAATGACTTATGTGATTACCTTTATATTGAATTTGAGATGATTATTTACTGTTGTGAATCATACTCAAGTGGGAGAATGTTAGAGTATGAGTGTGATTCTCACAGTTTAGTAATAATCATTGTTATTTCATATTGGTATAAAGAGGTCTTAATGTGTTTATAAGAGTTAATTCGACTTTGGTTTGGATTGGAACTCTATTGTTGGCTTGAGAATAGAACTCATACTTGTACAAGGATTTGGTCTTGTATTCCTTGTAGGATTGTAATAGGGCAATCTATGTTTAGTATAAAAACATAAGCCACTGCTCTCACAAAAACATACGCTCAATATTGAACTAAGACCTATTGTTAGTTTGAGTACTTTTGGTTTTGCAAGAGAGGAGAAGGTGCACTGTTTAGAAGTTTGCTTTGGCTTCCACTGTTTTTTACGATCTTACAATACAACCACCACATTACGGCATTCACCACAACAAGGATCAGACAGAGGATGAGCTGTTCTACCATCATGAGCATAATGAGCTTTTGAAGTCGGTCCAAGAATGGGTAAAAGAAACGGCAGAGTCATACTCAACCGTAGCGGTGCTAGTGGCCACTGTGGACTTTGCGATCGCCTACGCTATCCTACGGGTTAGTTTGTTATTGTGTTTATCGAATTGTGATTTTAATGCTTGTATAAATTTGTGGTTCATGAGCTTAATCTCTTAACTTATAAATTGGATAAGTTTAGTCTTACACCAAAAACTAACACACCACAAACAAAGCACCCTAGCATTCTGCAGACGCTGCCACTGCTTACACAGATCGCAGTCAAGCATCCAGCTCCCAAAAACGAAGAAGATGGTGACTTCTACAACCTGCAACAACCACCATGCTGATCGCAACCAGAATACGAAAGAGCCGGGGGAAAACCCACCGATGACAGTGCCAATAAAGGCAAGCAAATGGAGGTGGTGGTGTGTACACCCGAGTAAAAACTCTACGCACTTTCTAAAGAAACCACACCCGAGTGCGGTGAAGAAAGGAGATTGCAGATCAGAAAATAGGAAGTAACGAGGAAGGATGGAGCCAACCCCGGAGTGGGACTGGAAGAAATTGGAAAAATAGAGTGAGAGGGATAGATGAGAGCCATGGAAGTGGAAGGAGAACAGAGGTGAGGGTAGATTGAAAGCGAAAAAAGGGTGGAAGAGCAAGGCATATAGGAAAAGTAGGCAGTGGAAAATTGAAGCAGAAGGAAACGAAAAGAAAGAAGAACAAGGAAAGAAGGTAGAGGACTACCACCGACCCTTGCCGGAGCATGGGCAGGCGGCTGGGGAGAAAAATCAACGATGAAAAAACTCGCACAGAAAGGTGAGAAAGACTCTCAGAGAGAGAGAGTTGGAGACGAAGTTGGAGTTAAGCTTCTCAAACTCGTACTTGTCTTATTTTAGAAAATTAGAAAAACTATTATTATTGTCCAAAAACATAGACATATTTTTCGAACTTTATAAATAAATAAATAATGTGTCTTATTTACTTTACATGATAATGCATACGTACGGTCTATTGAACCACATAAGGTACACATTATTGGAAAATTTTGTTTAACAGTCTTCCCACTTTTGCCTATAGACTGGCAAATTGTCAATTATTTTGACTTTGACTTTTCTCCAATAAAACAAGCGGTGCTATTTGCGGCTGCTGCGGAATCAAAGATTTGACAGTGAGAACGCTTGCGTCATGCTTCGCTCTGAAGCAGTCAAATTCAATTTGGCTAAATAGTTGGCAAATTTGTTATAAAAAAAAAAAAAGATTTTTTTTATTAACACCTCATATATTGTTGAATACACCTCACTTAAAAATGTAATATTAAGCAACTTGTAACTCTAATATAAAATCACTATTCGAGCCCTCATAGGTACTCTTACTTTCCATTGTAGAACAAAGCCCTTAAAACACAAACAAGTTGATGAAAATATATCTTTTGATGAACCGAACAAAAAATCGAGTTTTACTCCTTGTTCATTCGTTGGTTTTTACATTCAAGAAATTATTTAAATAATTGAATAAAATTTGACTTTTTGCAAAATCATGCTCTAATTGGAATCCAAGAAATATGAAGAAAACTGGAGAATGTTGAAAATTTTTAACATGTAATTAAATGTAATATTCTTGTGGCTGTTTGATGATGAAGAAATTCAATGGTTTTTGGTTGGTTGGAACTGACATGACCTTATAAGAACAGTTCTTGCCATTTGTTCATCAGGCTTCTTAGAATCCAACGTGATTGTTCAAGAAAATTTGACGGATTTTATAAATCAAATGACAAGATGGAGATTTTACAACAATTTAATTTATCTTTCTCGTCTTTAAAATGTGGATTATTCTAAAGAGATGAAGAGTTTGATGTGTGGTTAATTAGTTGATGATTGTGGGGTGTGTGAGATGTGAGGTGTGAGGGTAGTATTGGAAACTACATGAGGTGTGTTAAGACATTGAGATGGAGAGAGAGATTTCTAGCAGGAAAGAGGACAGATTTTTCTTCTTCTTTTATTTCACAACTACCTTAAAACAATGTATGTGAAGAAAGAATGGGTGCTAAAGTAAGACTAGTTATGCAGAGCTGGGAAACTCTCCGGGGGTTAAAGCAAATTTAGTCCTTTGGTATGCTCTAACGCTTCAGTCGTTGTACCTCAAAACTTCACATGGTCATTCTGATACCGCTGACCCGGCAAGTTCCTTATCGGTTTGATAATATACAACATCCCCAGTGTCACTCACGTAATGATCGCGTTTAAAGCTTCTTACAAGGACTCCCAGTAGGTGAAGTGGGAGAGGCCCTGATTTTTTCGGTTCTCTGTAGTACTTCCCGAGCACAGGCTTAGCTGCCTCCGTCTGAAACAAACAAACGAAAGGAATTGAGAATCAGAATGGGGGTACCAAATTGAATTGATTTTCGGCCAAGGAGTCTAGGTTGAAGTGGTACTCACTGCTTCTATTAAGTTGTAATGTGGGATTTGAGGGAAGAGATGATGTATGACATGAGTTCCGATATCATGATGGATGTTGTTGATCCATCCGTAGTCGCGATCAATGGTTGTCAGTCCTCCTCTTAGATAACTCCATTCCTGTTTGATAGATAAAGAAACCAAAGATTAGCCACGTACATTTTAGGAAGTGCTAAAGCAGTTGCGTTGCTCGGATAGTTGATGAAATCGAACACTTTACCTTCCCACGATACCATGGAAGCTTGTCCTCGTGGCCATGGTGATGTAAGTAAGTCACTAAGTCCAACCACAAGACAAACATCTGCATTTGAAAGCAAATTCAATGAAACAATTTTAAGATGAGAGAAGATAAGAGAAGACTCGGAAGAGACTTTTGTTTTATGCCAACGATACAGAAGCACAAGCATATAAAGAAATGGAACCTACCCAGTATGGAACGCCGTAGAGCTTAAGCACTTGGACAGGTCCCATTGTGAAAGACAGACCGACTAGCAGCGCAGCCATTGCTGCCCAACAGGCAGTGGAAGTAATGATGTCTTTCCTTTCATTTGGGAGAAACAATTCGCTGTTTGGATCATAATGAGAGCCACTCTTTCCCGGACTTCGATTCCACTGTGATTGAAATCAGTAGCATACACCAAAACATATCAGAAAAAGACATCCAGAGTTCATCATTCGTGTAAGTAACGAGAAGCAAGATGCGAGAAGCGAAAGGCTCACCAGATAGAAAGGATAAGCAAGCATGGGGAATGGTAGGGTGAACCTAAATATCTGAGTCATCTTATCCAAACTCTTGTAAATTTTCTCAGGCAACTGCAAATCAGATGAGACTAATTAAATGACTGAATGACATAAAAGCGAAATAACTTACTTCTTCTAAGTTAAGGAAAAAAAGATCTATACAACGAACAATTTGATAAGCCGAATTAAGAACAGAGTCAGAAACAAATGGAAGCTCACCGGATGCCAAGACTCGTCATTTTCGACGTGTCCATGGTTCTGATGATGAGTTCTGTGGCTAATTCTCCTGTGACAGTAAATAGCTAATTGTTACTATGCAAGTTTTGTTACATGTTGTCTTAAGAACAGGATAACTTATTCAGGACTGGACTGGACAGGATTATTTTCAGAAACAAACTAACCATCCATGGTATGGGACAAGGATTGAAGAATGAAGAAGATGACCGACCACGCTATTCAGCTTTGGATTATTCGAGAAACTTCCGTGGCCACTGCACAAACAAAACAACAAACAATTCACATCAGTAGGCTAAGAAAAATTGCAAAAAAAAAAAAAAAAAAAAAAAATCAGATTGCAAGCAGAGGAAGCATTCAAATTTTAGTTTTCTCTGACTCATATTTCAAACTACTCTAATCTGCATCGATGATGATTCAAACTTGAATGCAAAAGAGCGTGCACCCTGAGTCGGCCAACTAGCCTAACGCAAGAAGCATGCAATTCAAGAGGTCTGAAATCCCGAATTAGAAAGTGTACATTTTTGCTCACCGTCCCTTACGTGATGTAAGCATCATTAATTGCCAATTGAATGAGTGTTAGTTAATCTAGAGAATCTACACAAAACTTAAAACTCAACTAACGATAATTAACGTGGATAAATATACTCATTTAAAAAAACGTGTAAAAATGGATAATTCAACAAAAAGAAAGCAAACTTTACGTACCAATCATGTCCAAGAACAAAGAGAGCCCAGAACATGGTGCCCTGAGCAAACCAGTAGAGAGGCCAAACAGCCCAATTGTTAAGGTAAGATGCAAGCGCCGCCATCCCAAAAACCACAGCCACATCTCTGACCACATAGCTCATAGATTTCCAAGGGTCCTTAACCCAGCAATGCTTAGGAATGGCAGCTCTGATGTCACCCAACTTGAAGGGGGGAGGGGCACCGGGGTCAAATTCACCACCGTCTCCAACCCCATTAGTGCTCACTTTGCCATTGTCTTCCCCATCCACGGATGGGACACGCAATGGCGCACTCACATTGAGTGACCATTTTGCCCCTCTGAACCCCAAAAGATTGGTGCTCCTCACATTGGGGAATGGCCGGAGGGTGGACGGTTTTGAGGGGAGGGCGTTTCTGGGATGTGAGTAGAATTTAGGGAGAGGTTTTAGGGTGCATTCTGAGAGGACCCAAGTCGCCATTGGAGATACCCAGATGGGGAAAATGCAGAAAGATTTGAGCTTTTGGGTCGGATTGGATTGGTTTGGAGGAATGGAGAGTGGGAGTGGAACTAAGTGGTCACAAAACGGAGGAGAAGGATAACGTAAGGGCCGCCCTCCTCCACGTCCAAATACAACCTGTGCTCCTTGTTGCTTGTCCCCTCTCTCTCTCTAGGACTACGCAATTGTTATCTCTCTCTCCTCCTCTATTGCTGGATAAAAGCTTATTAGTTTGGAGAGTTTGATTTTGTTTATATATTGGATTTTGGTGCGCGTGGAAGCAAATTAAAAATTGGAAAATTAATAAAAGAAAGTAGGATGGAGGGCAAAAGAAAGACGTTGAATTGGACGGCGGGTCCAAACAAATGTGAAACAGAGCGGGTAGTGGACGCGGTCAAAATCTGGCTCTTAGTGTCGGACTTTTTTTTGGTCCTTGTCAAAATCATTATTTATTTATATTCATGCTATGCAAATTTTATAAATCATTTTGATTAAAAAGTTTTTTAATTTTAAAATTTTTAGGCTTCGTAACATTTCAACAATTTCTCTTCTTTTAAAGAGTTGATTTTTCAATTCTCATAAAAAAAAAAGAGTTGATTTTTAATAATTTAAATCACAGTATGACATACATAAATGGAAATTTTTTTTTCATTTTTTGATCAAAGATATAAAAGGATGTTGTTGCATATGGTCCAATATCTTAGTAAATATCGTGTTAGTTTCTGCCCATTCGTCTTGGGTTCGAAACACTCACATTCTCTAAATCATTCTAATTGAATCAAACTCTCCCCCTCTCCTTGTTGATAGTAAAAATACTTTAAAAAAAATATTATAAAATGATCTTATTCAAAAACAAGAGCTTTGTAAACACGTCAAATTTTGATTTATTTGTAACTCTTTACATGTAAAAGTCAAGTATTTTACTTCAGCTTTTCACTCTTTAATTAAAATTATCTTCAACTCGTTTTCAGAATTAAATAAATAAAATATTAATGAACAAAGAAGAGCAGAAGAAGAAATTCGAAGTGTGAAGATAGTGCCTTAATTGCTAGCCCTTCTTTCAATCAATTAACCAAGAATTGACTATACAACAATTTACACATGGGCGGTTCAACCAAACCAAGTACTATTACTAAGGTGTTCAGTGAGAAAAACACGGACGAACAATAGTGCTGATTGACCCAAATCAAATGCCGACCAAATCAAATTTTGACCCAAGGAAAAATCAAAGAATCAACCACACGCGGTCCGGTCCTTGCACATTCTTTTCCATTGTATTGAGTCCTTACTCGGAAGAGTACTGTTGATGCATGAAATTGGACCAACGTATGGAGCGGTATCGGTTTAAGTGGTTCATCTTTAATTATTTTAACACATTAATCAAATTTTAAACATTTTTTTGTTCACGAACACAATACCATACCAAACCCGAAAACACAATATTGGAAAATGTTTGCAATTTATGTACAAGAAATATAGAATGTGGCAACGCTGGATCAAATGCACTAGTAGGATGTGAGCAAATAAGTAATTAGAATGTGCATGGTAGAACGCTCAACTGGGGTACCTTGCCACCATTTACGAGTTTCCAATCTCTTGGCGAGCTCCTTTGCCATTGACGCGAAGTCCTCAGCTCCGCTTCGCAGTTCTTTTGAGTTTTGGCTGAGCTTCTGGTATGTGCAAAACAAGCCATGCTCATCAGCAGATGAATCACGAATTGTGTAGTATCGGAAACAAAAGTACACAACGCTCTGTAAGAAGAACTAATGAATCCCATGTCATAATTTGGGGAAATATGCTAGTGTCATGCACCCGCGCGCAGCCATTGATGTTTGTGGACTTCCCAGTAAGTCTCGCATTCATCAACGGCTGTGATAGATAGACTCAAACACCCGCAATTGACTGATGCTAGCACAACTCTAATTCGGGATCTGAGGCCTCCATTAGTAGAAACCTGTACCTCAAGCTTTTCCTGGCGTTTTGCAAGCTTATATCTCATACATGCAGCTGCTGCGCCTGCAGACACATCCTGAAATAATCGACCACGTTAGAACGCAATCCCCATTTGTTGTATATGCTTTAAATAGCCATGAGGTCTCTTTAAAATAAGCCGTTACGGTGAATATTCAAGTACTTGAATCTTTTCATGGAAAAAGTAGTGAATTACTAGTCATGCCTTCAAATAATCTTTCCTTCTCTGTTCCCTTGTTGCGAAGAAAACACCGGGACATCAAGTCAAGACCACTAGAAAAATTTCGACCTAGAGGAAACAATACCTTTCTTTTCGGTCTTGTTCTTTTGAATTGAAGATGAAGGAGCAGGTCCATCGAATATAACAAGTCCGTCTATTACAACATCGTCTGCACTAAAACAGTTAGATTACGATCACAAAGAGAAGGGAGGTAAAGGGAAGGAATAAAACAAAAGATAGTGAACCTATACGAAGCTCTATAACATCTCGATCATCCTCCCCAGCTTTGGAAGGTTTTAAGGACGGCGGACTTGAAAATAAGCTCTCTAAATTCTCACAATACTTGTCATGATTTGGAGCTGGTTCCATGTCTTGCTCCGCTTTATCCGCTTTTAAGCCTTTAATGATACCGCCTAAAATACCAGGGACACCAACCTGTGGCTAAACAAGATGTTCAGCTCGGCAATAAATAAAAGAATTACACTTCACCACAGAAAATAATAAGGGAGCTTGAACCAACACACTGCAACCTGTTTCTGGTTAAGAGATAAACTGGCGATGACATCTGTAGCGACTGCAATCACTTTATCGTGAAGACAAGGCAAGGTCTCCGGAATCCTGAACCAACCGAAAATCCATTTAGATGGGATGATTCGTATAAAGTGTTTCGACTTTGCATTTTAGTCGTTCTTTAAAGCTTAGCACACGCATACACACACACACACGAGACTACAGGAGAGAGGGAGAAAGAGACCTGAAGTCATTTTCGCGGGACAAAAGAGATACAAGCTAATTCACACACATTTACCCGAAAAGATAGAAAATAAGTCTGAAGGTTAGAGAGTGCAACATAAAGCTATAAACTGGAGGTGCAGAATACAAGCACCTGCCACTGGAAGATTGATCGCTTTCTGGATTAAAGAAAGTTTGGATTGTGAAGAAGGTTCCTTCCAGTGGCATATAATATACGACAGACAAACAACGCGTGGTTATCTAAAATGAAGAAAGAAAACTGACCAGAATCATTTGTCCATGATCAGAGGAGCAGATTGTCTTGTCCACCTTGATCTTGAAGCTCCATCTCAGAACTGACATTAATGAAAATTCTCCCACTTCTTCAAGATTTGGAAAAGACCTTTTGAACGATGGCCAATCTTTCATGATACAAGTGTTCTCCAAATAAAATGATCAAACAGATAGGTGCCAAATGCCAAAGACTTCCCCGCATATATGCATTCAACGATCAAAGCGATATCAGATTACACAGCAGAAAAAAACTCAGAGAAGCAATATGTGCTTCACCTTATTTCGAAGACTCCTGTCTGATAGAACAACCAGTCCACCATCTTTCCCACCTTTCTTGAAGACTGTAGTCCAGCAACATGGTTTCGCAAGATCCACCTTCTGAGTGGAGTTACTGTCACCCTGGAATTAAGGTGGTTTCACTTATTCGTAAAAAGAGATATGGAGATGTTCAAGAATAACAACAAAGTAAAACAGCTGTGTTCGTTGATCTCTACGCAAAATATGCAGTTTTGCTGGTGGTGTCCTGCTCAACTTCGACTGTGTACTTCCGGAGTTGGCATGTGCATGATCCTTCTTAGCTTCAGTTATCTGAGAGACGTTCAAGGATTGCTTTGCACTTGGAACATCACATAACACATCACCATCCTGTGAATACAACAGTTCTCCCTATCAAATATGATCAACAGTTTCCGTGATTAAATCTTAAAATTCATAATTCTGACTCAATTAGCTTCCACTGTATCACGTCGATAATTTCTACCCCAAAAACGATCAAATTAACTAAAAAATTACCTTCTAACGAGATGTGAATTAAGAAAAAAAAAATATCTCAAAAATAAATGACAATTTGAACGGAATGGATGGAGCACCTGAATGAGATCATTTCGTCAGAAAAGTTAGACTGTCACGTAATAATGGCAATTCATTATTTATATTTGACCTAGCCACATATAAAAACTTAACTTGTCTATCATCCATAAAAATAGTTCCACGAAATTAGTCTTCATACATATATCGAACTTTAACGATTTGAACCGTTTATTTCTCAAGTTGTATATCTTATATCATCTTTGCAAAATATTAGCCAAATCGAAAATATTTAAGACATCTAATCGAGTTCAAAGAAATTAATGAATACTTTGTTATATAAGAAACAATGAAATTTTATCTGGATAATTAAATAAGCAAATGGTTTCGGATTGAATTGAATTTTTGCAAGGATGATCTATGAAACGAGACTTACAAAATAAACGGTTCGGATCGTTAAAATTCGATTCGGAGTGAACCCCACACCTAATCCCATTTCTTTCTTTTTTAATGAGGATCCATTTGCATAAAGGGTCCATTTGCATAAAGGGCCTATGTATATATATATATATGGTTTTGCTTAAGATGAGCGCTACCTACAATAATTAATTAATTATAAATAAACGTAGTCAAAACATAATTATGCTATTTTGATCCCAAAAAAACATAATTATGCTATGTAAGCAAAGCATTAGTATGATAAATAGTTGGCAATAGTATGACAAAGAAGCGAATAATTAATCAAAGTTGTTAATATTGTTCATTGGTCTAACTTCAAATTGATGATGTCCCACGTCGGGCATTCGCAATGTTCTGGCATTAAAATCCAATTCATTTTTTTCACACCAAAAAGAACCTAATAATTTCCCCAAATTTCATGTTTTATGATTCTAACACGTGGATCTATCATCTATGATATCATAATTAGGTTTATAAAATTTTCTTAATAGAAGTGATTCTGATTCTCTTGTTCTACTTTTCCATCATGTATTAAATTAATCTTCATATGAAACAACTTGCGTTCATAAATTAAAAAATAAAAAGCTTGTGCTTTAAATATTAAAATAAAAATAAAAAACGTGGGTTTGATGCGTGTTTAGTATAGTAGTGACGGGCCATAGGAGATATAACTTCTGTTGAAAGGTGTATTAACACGTATTAAGCCCAAGCTGAAGGCCGCTAAGATGAAATTTGCACAGAAACTACGTATCATCTACCGAATAATGCGAGGTAGATCAATTTTATGTTCAAATTTACAAATTATATGATGTGCCACTAATAAAAATATAATATAATGTAAATAGAAGATCTTCCTAGTATAATTTGGGTTCAACTCCGGAAAATAGAATATTATTTTTTTAATATCCCACACATGCATGGAAATTGCAATCCTCGTATGCCCTTATAGGTTGTTTTGGAACTAACTCATCTGCAAATAGCTCCTTCAATGGTTCTTGTTTTAAACTTTTCATGCATATATTTTCAAATAAGCAAAATACTGACAACCCTACCATAACAAACTTTGGAGTCAAATTGACCCAATTTGTTAACATACCTAAAATAAACACATAATTTAAATATGGTAATGTTAGGGAGATAAATTTGCAAATCAAATGATATGTCGACATTTAAGTAATAGTCTAATTATCAATGTCCATATGTTTATCAAATTTGGTTTCGAAATTTAATCTCCCTAGCATTATCCATTTAAATATCCATAAATACATTGTACTACTTTTCTTCCGTATATTTTTGTCAAACAATAGAATGATTTTTCTTCTGTATATTTTTGGTCAAACTTTTTTTTGTTTTTTTGTAATTTAAATCTCAATATTTATTGTTCCAATTATTTTTTTCTTCTTCTGTATATGGTCATTGTATATTTAGAATTCCTCCAAAAGCCAATTGTTTCTCTTAAATCATGTTGGTTATGAACAATTACACCTGATAGGTAGAGCGAAGAATCGTAACTCCATAACTACTTAAGTAGGTTTACGACCCCTAAAGAAATATAATAAGTAGAGAACGAAGCGAACTAACTACATTCTCATCAAAAGACTAAATCCTTATAATAGCTTCTTTTTTTTTTTTAAATATATTTATGTAAACTTTATCTCCCTCAAATTTCAGGTGATGGCAAATTGTTACATTGCATTTGATGACCGACATCGTCCGTGGTAGAATTTGAGACTAATTACTATGTCCAGACACAACACAGGCATAAGAACTCTGGTGGGTTGCAAGTTACCTCGATCATCGACCGTAGTAGATGATCTTTAGTTGTCTTGTAGCTGTGTCATCACATTTTACATATAAAAATACCAAGTTCTTTCCATGTAAATTTTTTTAAATTTGTGACGTATTTTTTGTTTTTTTATGTTTATTCCTATTTGTATGAACTGACGTATAGCTGTAAATATCTGTGTTGAAGTGGTTTTGATGCTGCAGTTGGCTTTGGCTTGACTTGTAAAATAAGCAAACAATCCAACCATCGATCAAACTACCACGCACGCAGATCAAACTACCACGCACGCAGAGAGGAAGTACACACACACAAACACCAGAGAGAGGCGACGAAAAAGCTTTCCTTAGACTTTACTTTTCTCAAACATAAAGTCATTAATAATTTGGATTTGTTCGTCTAAACCACATCATTATGCCTTAATGATGCATCAACTCTACGCTTGGGCAGTTGAAGCTTTCTTGTTGGAGACAAAGATAGGTCACATGCATGTTAATTGCTATATTTTGAGGACTGAATTTTAAGGAATTCTATCTAATGTTAAATAACTCAAGATTTTCACAACTTAATGCAATGTTAGGGCTAGTTGAGTACACGCATGGACTAATTGTGGTCGTTGATGTTTTGTTGAAACACGCACGTGTTTTAACTGATCATGACCGTTAGATGTTATGCGTAGACTCACACATGGATTGATTGATTTTAATTGATGGCCCCACAAACATCGACGTCTAGAATCACTCTACCACACCTCCACGACTACTCGTGTTTATTTTTTACATTCCTATTGAAAAAATTAAAATAAAATAAAATAATAGAAATAAACAATGTGTAGGAAAATTATTCATGTAACTTAATCTTATATGTGACTTAAAACATGATTAGGTTAACTTTTTTTCCTTATTTTTAATAAAATGATTAGATGACTTTGAGAATCACGATGGTTCATATAGTCATCATCATTTGTTGGTTGGGGCCTATTAGTTTTAGACTCCAAACTAGAAAACAAACGTTTGGTATTAGAGTGGGAAGTATAATGTTAGTTTCATTAGTTTGTTCATAAGCAAATGTTTTATCTTATTAAGACTTAGGGCCCGTTTGGAAGTATTTTTAAAATGACTGAAAGCACTTTTAAAGAAAATATTTTGGGGTCCAAACTGGTGCTTCTTGCAGGAAGCATTTCAAGTGTTTTTTTGTGATTCACTAGCATTTTTACTAAAAATTAGTTCCAAAAACATTTTTACTAAAAGCGCTCTCTATCATTTTAAAAGCACTTTTAAACCAATCCTTAATATTGTTTCCTACACACTCTACTTCCTCATCCATGACATAATAAGTTAAGAGCAAATTAATAGAATTTGGTTATATTTGTTGCCTACAATAATCTTTCTTCCTTCCATATAATCACCAAACTAATATTACCTAAATAAATATTGCTATATATATAATGTACAAATGTATTCAACGTGTGCCATACATATATACATGAAGTGGCATGTATATATGAATTTAATAATTTGCTACTCAAGCCTCAATCTAATGTTGAAAGCCAAAGCACACTATTACAATTTCAAACATAAAAATAAGATATGGACAATTTTTTTTTTTTTTTTTGAAAGACTGGATATAACACCAGGCAAAACCAACAAAACAAAGAAAGCCCACCAGAGGGGCAAACGCAGCAAAACAAAGAGAAGGGTCGTGGCATTATTTGGTGAAAAGTGAAGGAGAAAAATGGACAACGCTCATAAATTCAAGAGTGGTGATGTGTACGCTTGTGTTTTCTTCTTCTGCACTATTTCTTTGTATTTGTCTATTATTTTTTCTTCGATTTATTAGTCCAAAAAATAAAAAAAATGAAAAAATATTTTCAAAAAATATGCGAAAATCATTTTTTATAATTCATAATGAGATTAAATCATTATATTAGCTTTGACTCTTGACAACTATAGACCTTCGTACGACCTCCAAACAACTGAGTGAAAGTTGAAGCTTCCCCATCAAAATCTATAAACAAAAGCAGATTATCTGCATTGGAGTTGAGTTTCAAATCACCACCACAGCCTGCAGATTGAGACCAACTTGGCAGAAGCTTTGAGATTACTTCTCTCTCTCTCTCTCGCTGTCTCTGTGGAGCCAAGTTTAAGGGAATTAGTTAGAATTGGTCTCTATTCAAATAGAAAATAAATAAGCAAGAGAGCAACTGAGAAGGACAATTGCCCTCCACCAAAAAGCCAAAAACCATTGTCTTGAAGACAACCACATTTCACCAAACACCCAATTAAACAAATCTCATTAATCTAATATTCCCTTGCTAAAATCCCTTAATTCTCTCTTAATCCACACGTTCATGTCTTTCACTTCTTTCTTATATTTTCCTTCTTCTTCCTCCCTCTCTCCAACTCCCTCTCTCTTTTCTACTCTCTCTCTCCCATGCAGCTACCTCGCAGAAAAACTCTCTCTCTCTCCGAATCTGCGGCAATGAAGGTACGCAAGAACAATAACCTCTCCATCTTCGTCGTCGTCTTTTCGGTCTTCCTCTTCGGGGTGTTCATGTATAATGAGGACGTGAAATCCATCGCCGAGTTTCCATTCTCGAGCCACAAAGCTCAAGAACTCCAGGAAGAACTCCAGTTGTCGAGACAGAGCGACCCGGTTCAAGAAACGAAACAGACCGACTCTGTTCAAGAAACCCACAACAGAGTGTCTCTGAGCTCGAGAACCCAACTGGAAGAAACCCATTTGGAGAATCACAATTCAGAGGAAACCCAGTTGGAAAATCACAACTCAGAGGAAACCCAGTTGGAGGATCACAGTTCAGAAGAAACCCAGTTGGAGAACAACAATTCGGATGAAACCCTAGAGCCGGTTGATCTGAAATCCATCGTCGAACAACACAAAGATCAGAAGATTGAATTGTTGGGTTCTTCTCAGGAAGAAGAGGAAGAGGAGGAGATTGAACTGCCGCCGGAAGATTGCGATTTGTTCAACGGAGATTGGGTTTTCGATCCCGCGACTCACCCCTTATACAAAGAAGAAGAATGCGAGTTTCTTACGGAGCAAGTGACGTGCATGAGAAATGGAAGGAAGGACTCTCTGTACCAGCATTGGAGATGGCAGCCCAGAGACTGTAATCTCCCGAAGTATGAATCTTTAACTGTTAATTACTGGTTTTAAATTTTGATTTCTGGGTTTTTGTTTAATTATGGTTTGGACTATTGTGTGATTAGGTTTAATGCGAGATTGTTGCTAGAGAAATTGAGGAACAAGAGGCTGATGTTTGTTGGAGATTCACTGAACAGAAACCAGTGGGAATCCATGATTTGTTTTGCTCAGTCTGCCGTTCCTCCCGGCAGGAAGAGCCTGGTGAAGAATGGCTCCCTCTCTGTTTTCAGAGTTGAGGTAAACATATTCATTTTTCTTCTTTACCTTTTCGTAGGTTCTATTCTTTTAGTGGATAAAATGATTTTGTAGGTTCTATTCTTTTAGTATATAAAATGACGTCATCATCGACCCACACCTCGAGATTTTCAGTATATAGCACGGTTAGGTACACTAAGTGTAATAATACAATTGGTTAGAAACATATAAATAAAAAATTAACAAATTGTATTAAGACACTTAGTATACTGAATCATATTTCCGGCATAATATAAAATTTCTCTCAAAACTCTTACAAAAGAATAAGTTATTGTACATTTTGATTCCCTCTGTTCTACATGATGGAAGAGTAGCCCTAAGGCAGTTTTTTCGAAGTTTCTCTCGTTATTATTTCAGTAAGGAGCCATTATTTTTTGTGAAAAAAATTAGAGTTCGAAACGTGTCTAAGAATTTTATATTTTATGATTTTAGTAAGTTATTTTTACATATTCATTGGACTTTATTTTACAGTTAAATAAACGGTAAGAAATCAAGCAGTGTTCATATCTATGGTGTAAAGATAATTTCATGTCTGGCATTGTAGATTGCTTGGCAGACACATATTTTGGAAACTATCTAAATATTGTTTGTTTTTGTTTTGTTTAATTATGTGGTTTTAGGACTATAATGCCACGGTGGAATTTTATTGGGCACCATTTCTGGTGGAGTCAAATTCAGATGATCCAAACATGCACAGCATATTAAATCGAATAATAATGCCCAAATCAATTAAAAAGCATGGTGAAAATTGGAAGGGCGTCGACTATCTAATTTTCAACACATACATTTGGTGGATGAACACTTTCAACATGAAAGTTCTGTAAGTAGCCAACTTAAACTTGCTCAAAAATTTAAAAAGTTAATTTCTTAGCAATTTCAAGAAGTTGATGTGTTTTTATTTGTTGTTTCGACTGAAAAGACGAGGTTCGTTCGATCAAGGGGCAACGGAATACGATGAGATCGACCGGCCGTGGGCGTACCGGAGAGTCATGAAAACTTGGGCTAAGTGGGTGGACAAGAACATTGATCCTAATCGGACCACCGTTTTCTTCAGCAGCATGTCTCCTCTTCACATCAAGTAATTTTCTCGCACGTTTTATTTAATTATTTTCTTATGCTTCAAAATGTGGAAACAGTTTTGTCAAAATTTGCATTTTTTTTGGGGAAAAAAACAAGACAACATAAAACAAAAGCATAGAAAATAACGTTCGACTAAAAACAAAACATAAATAATAACGACGAATTCTCTGCAATTACACAATTGAAAGTATACACAAGCACATGCGTACTAAAGAATCTTAGTTTAGTGCATATGTAGGTTTAGGTTGGGTGCATAGTTTCTTGCACTTGTTTTTTGCATCCGAAATTGAATCTTCCTCTTCATAAGAGTGGTTTAAAATATCGGTTGTTGAATAAAAGAACCTAAGTTTGGTAATTCTTCACGTGGTTCTTGTACCTAATTAACTAATTTGCAGTAGTTTAAACTTAAACAAACTTTAATGGCAACCATTTTTTTTGTCTTTTTACCCAAATTTTTCTTTCAATCATTAGCTTGTGAGGCAAGTCTACGCCTAGTAGATTTGTTGAGAAAGTGCATTTAGCTTTAAGGCAAAAATACCTGTCTTCTGTTTTTTTTTTTGGTTGTATATTTTGTAAGTGAATATAATATAATATAAGAATATCTGCATTTGAAATATGATGTTTAATTTTCCCTCATGCGTCCCAAATTTGATACTCTACGTTCTCTTGTAATAATTTAAAACCCTCTTTCTCCCCTAATTAATAATAAATTTAAAAAAAAAAATATATATATATATATAATAACATCCCTTAGGTGAGCGTGAGCTGTTGGGTGGTTGATTGTGGGTATGAAAATGAACCCCAAATCTTTGATTCGACCCTAATCTTTGGTTGGTTAACCACTACATATCTATTTCTAAATGAATAATCATAATATATGTCCTTTAATCCTTTCCACTTCCAACATAGAGGACACATGTTACATTATTCGTACAACAATTCTCACAAAAATATAGACTTCTGCATTTTTGTTCCATCTGATATGAAAGTTGTCTTAATCCAATAGTCGTACCAAAACTTTTCTCGTATTGACACATTATTTGGTGAACACAATTCACGAAGTCTGACTTTCTTCTAACCGCGATTGACCTTTGTGGTGTAATAGGAGTTTGGATTGGGACAACCCAAATGGCATAAAATGCGCAAAAGAAACCACACCAGTTTTGAACATGACAACCCCATTGGAAGTGGGCACGGACCGCAGGCTATTTGTGATTTCAAGCAACATAACAAAATCAATGAAAGTGCCCGTCTACTTTCTCAACATCACAACCCTCTCCGAGTTCCGCAAAGATGCACATACCTCAGTCTACACCATCAGGCAAGGCAAGTTGTTGACGCCGGAGCAGCAAGCCGACCCGGCCACTTACGCAGACTGCATCCATTGGTGCCTCCCCGGGTTGCCCGACACATGGAACGAGTTTCTTTACTCACGTATCATCTCCCGCTCTTGACACATAGGAAAATCCGTACACTCTGCCCCTTGTTGTTTTATAATTTTTGTTTTAATTTTGGGTCCACTATTTCATGTAATTTCTCTCCTCAGTTTTTACTGTCTTAGGAACTCTTGTTTTTTATTTTTTGGTTCTTTTATTCAGCCAATTTGACTAAAAGGTGAGAGCTGAATGAGGATGCTAATTTTTAGCCAAAGTCTCACAAAATTTGCTTAGGCTGAAAAGGGACTCTTTGATACCACCCCCTCCCCACAAAACCCGAATTGTAAAATTCATATTCCAAAAAATAATAAAGAAAACGCAAAACTGCATGTCCTCTTCTCTTATCCTATTTTTACTTCTAGTGTTGGAATAACGACTAAGTTCCCGATAATTTTCCTAGAGACTTTTGACGGTTAAATCTTGGTCACTGGCTCCTTGATCAAGAATCTAACGGTAAACAATTATGTTGGATACGGTACCTCAAGCATGCTGGAAAGGGAAATTTATTTGAACCCATAGAACTTCTTTCTACACATAGCTTACTCTTTACACATATATCATTATTAATTAACCCAACTGCCTAAACTAACCTCACAAACGCAATTCAACATGTAATTTATCTTTACACCCATTTCAAAGTTCAAAAACCAAACTAAAATGAAAAGAGCTCATGCAAAAACAATGAAACAAAGTATGTAGCTATTGTTGGTTTGGCTAATTAGAATTTAGATTGCAAAGCAAAGACTAATAGTATCAGTATGATATTATACGAACGCACACATGAGAAACTTAATTAATCCATGTTGTCAATAATTTAACTGTTAGAATCTTGGACTCTTGAATTAAGAAGTAGCTGTTTGATATGTAATCCAAGAAAAAAAAAACACGATATTATGGTTATGTAAATTAAGAAGTAGAATACTTGGTAAATGGTGTCCAAAAAGAACAAGAAAAGACTTGGCAGCGTTAGTATATGGCATATAAATTAATAATTCAACTCTTGCATAAATCGATTCATACTTTAGTCGGAGGATTCAAAACTTCAAAATCACCGTCCATCTGGAAAAAAGAGCTTGTTTTTCTCTATGAGAGCAAAACACCTCTAACAGCACCCTACTACCAAGACAAATAAAAGGTTTCGTATTTAATTGCGACATTTTACATATACCTACTTCAGACAATATACATGTAAGGTTCTGTAATGGGGAGGCTGCCTAGCAGATGAATGTGATATGCTCCACAGAATATGATTATCCAGGGCGGAAAGCAAAGAACAGATCATACCTTCGCGTCTAGAGACAAATATTCTGCAACGAATCTTCACCTTACTCTGTACAATCCATGCTTCATCTGCTCTCGTTAGATGAAAAGAGCTTATCTATCGCGGCAATAGCATTGATGTGAGTCCTCGGAAATAGTAGATGTAACAAAGGGACCAAAGTTGACGAGGACTTGAGCTTGGGCTTGACTTTCTCCACAGCCATCTTAATTACAGATGGAGCTGGTACACCGAACCACTGAAGGTACCAAGAGAGAAGTATCGAGCGTTTATCTCCGTGGAATTCCGCATTTGGCCACCTCCCAGAATACATATAATTACAAAAGTCGTCATTCAAGTCCTGAGAACAGTTTAGGAGCTCTTCCACCTGCTTCCTAAGACATGCTATAAAGTTGGACTGAACAATGCCGCCTCTGGAAGCAGTGGATCTTCCGCTTAACAAAGTCTCGTTGTAGGCTAGTGCAAGCTGCAGTCAGAAGGGGGTGGATGAAAATACAGTGCAACAAATTATGTCATTAAGAAAACAAAAGTTGATTATTAGAGATCGAGGAATGAATTAACAAAAGAAAAAAAGTTGATGCGATATCAATCATTTGCAAATTTAACTTGTTTTTCTTTCTTTCTCCAGTTATAGCAAAGTTACATATTCAACTCATCCTAATTCAATTATGATCACCTACGTTTTTTTGACCACTTTTTTTTTTTTTATAATGTGTTTTCTTGATCATTAAACAGGAAAACCATACCGATGTTCAACTCTAAGGAATTGATATAGTTTTGGCATCATTTAATATGAAAAAGTTGAAATGAAAGTTATAACTAGGGCAAAGTGAAAGGTCAATAGAATACTACCTTAAGATTACAAATAGCAAGAGAGTCGGATAAAACAACAGCATCACTGGTAACTTGACCTGCCATTGATCCAATTGTCGTGTATAATGACAAATAGACCTGCATATTTTTCAGGAGATTGTATTAAGTTTATTATTAGAAGGGTAACTTTCAGAAACGGGAATATCTCGTAAGCATTGATTAAAATGAAAAGCTTAATCAGTTCGACTTCTACAGTTATAGTTGAAAAGCATAATCCCATATCACATTAAGAAAATGAAAGGCAAATGTCAGTTGCATTGAATGTGTCGCATCTAAATCATATCAAGATATACCACCCGGCAGGTACAAGCAGATTATAGCCCTTGTGGCATCCAACCATGCTGGAAGAACTAATTTCGGAATGCAAGGTTCATTTAAATGGAAGGCAGAGAAAATAATCTCATACGCATATTTTATGGTTACCTGTAAAAGAGCAGGTCTGTCCTTGCTCACACACTCAAATAAGACTTGCAAGCAAAATTCTTGGAAATTAATGTCAGATCTGCATATACATCTTAAGACTGGTTATTTCAAAGAAATTACATGGATAATGTCCAATCCCTACTGAATTCCAGACCACAAACTGGAACCAAAAGGCCAAAGAGAAAAATGCGAAGATAAACAGGTACTTACTTGCTCTTCCAGGAAGGGTCGCAGCAGAGTTGTGCAAAAGCAAGCAAGCTAGGATCAGATGAGAAGGTACCAACCAACTGGTCAACAGTAACAGAACCAGGTCCATTGTCCCCGCTTGGACAGGGATCACGTCCTTTTAAACTTGTCAAACCAAACACCTGAATCAAGAACAATTTGGTATCCACTCTGTCATCCAAATACATCACTAACATAATAACCAGTGGTAGAGAATTTTTTACCTTATGCATTGCCCGTGACAGCAGTGACTGACACCCTATGGGATCATCAATGTACGAACATGCTCCAACCTTTCTTTTGATATACACAACACCAGAATTAAATGGGCTATTCTTGTCCCCAGGGGTCCACCATGGTTCATCTGTTAAACAAAATATGGAATAAAGCAAAACATCACATAACTATGAAATTAAAATAGAGTTGACAGTTTGACTATCAAGAGTTAAAATCTCGGAAACAGAATAGATTAGCAAAAACAAGCAGAAACAAGTGCATACCTTCAGGGACAAGATCTATTATTTGGGGCCAATACCGAGGGCCACAAATGCGTATTGACTTCAACTGCAAACAGCAGAAAATCAAATAATCCGTTAACCAGTTTTCTGTGTAACATATATACAATAGCAGTCAGATTCATTCCAAGGTAATTAACTCACCACTTGAAGTCACGCAGGAACACTAAACCTACATAAATATACTATATTTGGCAGTCCATAAATGCTCAGGTAAAAAAAAAAACTCCATAATGTTTAAAACTGGTATATTTTATATAACAGTTTCTTCAAATATTTTTATATCCAAAAGGAGGAAAATTTCTATGCAGAGCTTAGATATTTCCCAAGCAAAGTCTCCTTTCATTTTATTTATATGGGGGAAGAGAGGGAAGCTGAAGAATTAATGATTTCCGACAGAGTTATTCTTAACAGTTGAAACTTACAATGTCACGTTCTGGTAGAAGGCAAGGCGTAACCTCACAAAAACTTGTTTCCGAATAATGTTCAGTTTCCTTAATAGTAACTTCAAGAGGGGCATACACAGGTAGACCAGTGTCAACATCAACTGTCTGGATCCAACGGGCTTCAGTTGCAAGTACATACAAGTGCCGAAATGCCTGAAATTACACTTCGTTCAGAAACTCAAGATACTCATAATCAGCAATTAGATATCATAGGGTGAAGAAGCAAGCACTTTCTATTCGCTCTTGACAAAAGCTGTCTGACCTAAACAAATATATTTTAAACGTGTTTCCCTCTAACTTTTTTATTCAAGGTCAATACTACGGTATAATCAATTATGAATTAAACCAATACATTTTTCAAAACCAATTATAGATGTATGTGATGCCTGAGAAAACCATTTGACCTGGAGGTGGCATCGATTATCACTTGGTCCAGTAGGCAATCGTGGATAGAGAGTAATCAGCAAAGCAGCAACTGAACTGTTGCTTGTTGAAAATGTCCGTGTTCCTCCCCCAAGGAACAAGAAACCAATTGCTAGGCTTACCTAGAGTGAACAGAAACACAAATGCAACAAAATTTAAATTGTAATAATGGGGATGCCATCAAAGAAATTTTGAGGAAAGTATGAACATTTCTAGAAGAATACGAGATCTAACGATAAGCAGTGGAAGACTTACAGCCATCTGAACACCATAATTAACATGTCCATCTGCAGAATTTCTGTTGCGGAGAAATCTCAACAGCTTAAAGGTTTGTAAATGTCCAGAACCAGCCATAACCTGCCATAGCACCAGATACTTAACTGCGCTCATACTAAGAAATAGTAGATACAAATACCCAAAAAAAAAAGTAGGAATGAAAAATCCAATTACCAGAGACAGGGAAAGAACAATGAGATGAAGACATATCTCCAATGTGCTTCGATCGACATAGTGAGACAATCCCTTTGGGAAGGTTCCACTTGTAGCAGAAACTGGCTTGATCTGCAAACAAAAGAAAAGTACTTATTACTAACGTATGGGTGGTTAAAAGTTAAGCAACATCATGCTAACGTCCAACCTCATTCAGAAAGTAAACAGCATAGCTGTAAAGTAACTCCTGAGCATTTGCATCCTTTGTACCAGCAAATCTCAACCCTGCCCATGATAAAGTTTTAATGGAAGATAAAATAAGAGACAAATATATGTTTAAAAGCTAATGAGTACTAAACTATAAAAGAACATTAGAAGCATATCAATTTGTTTGTAACCAAATGAAACAGTTATAACATAAAAAATAACTGAATCTGCTCAGAATCTTATTATTGAACAATTGGAATAAAAAGTTGCAGGAGGCACATCCTTTTAGCTTGCCAAAAAAGACACAGCATCTTATAACACATTCAATAAAAATGAAAATTACATCAATATCCTTCGAGTTGGATGCAACTACATAAGCAAATGATAAAAAAAGGTTGTACCCAGTGCACAAGGCTCCCGCTTTACGCAGGGTCTGGGAGAGGTGAATGTCGGCTAGCCTTACCCCCATTTATGGAGAGGCTGCTCCCAAAAAATCAATACCATATGAAAACCACGTCTTACCA